CTTTACAGAAGTTATAATAAGAAACTCTAGGTGTGCAAACAACATCCAATTTTTGCTAAATTCTTACCGTTGCCATGAAAACGGACGAAAAGTATTTTTTTTTTTCTATTTTTCTCAGTAACTACGCAAGCAATCTTTTGGAAACTTTAAAGGTTTATTCCTTCTAGTGGATCAAATTGTTTTTCGCAAAAAATTTGAGCAGGTCCATCGCTTCAGGCACCGGAACGAAGTCGTATTTTGGTTCACCTTAGATTTGTACTCGAGCGTTCTCGTAGATAGCTTTCAAAATCTTCATGAAACTTTACAGAAATAATAATCACCAACCCTAGTTATGCATGGAATATTTTATTTTTTCAAAGTTTGTCGCTGATGCAAGGTAAGGAACAAATGATTTAAGAAAAGTCGCGGTCACTTGGCCATTATATGCTATCAAAAGTTTCTTTTTATCAAAGTACTGAAAGGACTGATGCGAGTTGATGGTTTTCCAAGCTTAGCTAATGGGTATTGCTTTACTGATGAAAAAATGAAATGTCTGTATAAAAACAGAATTTTAAATTTCCATTTGATTTCTGATGTCAATTTCATGACATGATGCAATGTGTTTTAAAATCCAATTTACAGATGATACTTTATGAAATTATGATAAAACGATATTTCTTTCTTTTACAGTATAATTATACAAGTTTAACATTTATTGAGCATTGGTACCTTATTTTAAGAAATGAAATGAACTTGCGCAACTATCATAAAATATATTAAAATCACATTTGTTGACATTCCTTATAGTGTATGCAGCAAGTATGTTTTTGACAAGTGTCGTTTTTCTGTGATAATTTTTTTTCTTGAGTAATGCTTTATTTTCACATGCAGTCTTCAAAAAATCTGGTAACTAATAAATGTAAAGTCAAAAAAGTTATTGTACATTTTTACTACCCTCCCCATTACACACACACGCGTGCGAGTCTCACCCAGAATAACAACATCAAATATTTCCCTTAACCCGAAATCAACCTCTGATCGACTTTAAATCTACCAAAGGCCCAAAATAAATTTTCATTAAAATTTGCATGTCTTTGACTCAATTAGTTAATCGCCGAATATATGTAAGATGAACAGAGATATCAAATTTACTTTTTGTAAATCAATTCTCCTTAATATTGAGTTTATATTCTGCTGCCATGATGCTTTCTCTGTTGCGTGTGTGTAAATCATCTTATCTACGATTACTTCATCTTAATAAACCACTTGTATTAGTTAAACTATTTCCGGTATCAGTAGTGACTAAAAACAAGCAATATTATTTCTTCAATACAATCCAATTCTCCGGATATGTTAGTGTTAGTTACATGTATAAATACCTGTGTTCTGATGTATTTCATGTTAGAAATAAAACACAAAAAGAGGTTTTTGAGGAAATCAAATTTTTTATTAATCACCAATCCTGCCTGTCAAAACTATTATCTCCACACAACAAATCCTCCACAATCCAAGAGTCGGTAGTCCAGTCCCAGCAACTGGACCCTGTGTTTTTAAAAAAGCTTCTTTAAAAACAACAACAACAACAACAAAAACAGAATAATACAATTTTAGACCATTTCTGATAAAGCCAGTTTAGGGCGACATACGCTATTGCTTGCAATAGCAGACTTTCTAGTTGAAGATTATTATTCTGGTACGCTGATTCATTTTCATCATTTATTTTTTTTCAAACGAATTCATGCAATGGTTTAAAATCCTGGTCAGCTTTTCCTTTCCAGAGATTCCAGACAACAGAGATTCAGACGTTCAACACTAGGCCGTAACTTTAGAATTTTTACCCATATCAGAAATATCTGTTCTAAAATAATTGGAATATACCCTTAGAAATATGTGTGGTTGACACGACTTGTAAAAAATGAAAAATCCTTGATTTTATATATGTAGAAACTATTAAAAAAAATATCATAAAGTTTTCTTCAATATAAATACGGAATATTGATATCTCAGATAAGACAGTACGACTTTTTGCAGCACGTTTGTATATCCTAGTTTTTTTTTTTTTTTTTTTTTTCTTTTTTTTTTTTTTTTTTTATTTTTTATTATTTTTTTTTGTTTTGTTTTGTTTTGTTTTTTTTTAATTAATGTTTGTTACCTGCGAAATGAAAAGAAGGGGGGGGGGGAGGGTAGTGTTGAATTCTTTACTTTTTCAGGGGTAGCGTTGAATTCTTTACTTTTTCAAAATGTTACTATTATCTAATGGTGAATAATTGTTTACTTTTTATCAGTGACTTCCTTTCACCTCGTAAAAAATGTTTTGTAATTTTTTTAAAAAAATGCTCTGAGTGCTATCTTAAGATACTGCCAGGTACCGTTTAAGGAAAGGCGCTGGCAACACGAAAAATAATGCTACGACTTTATACACTCTACTGCTTTAGGTTAAAATACCTTAACCAAAAAGCATTTAACCTAAAAACAAGAGCTCCCTGGAGAATAAAAATATCATACGGGACCCAAAATCACATAGAATCAATGATTCAATTCTCCCTTAATATTGATAGATAACTGCAAAGGATAAACTACATAAGGTACACAAGGTACATAGTGTAATATTGTAATTAGTTCAGAGTACTTAACAGTAAAGTAATTCAAACCACTTAAAAATAACAGGACATACCTGATTTCTCCAGAGATTAATTTTTTTCTTCTTAAAATATTTTTTTTAATGATCAAAGTCACTGTAACACTGCATGTTTACTCCTTGAGTATGTAATGGACATTAATGATGTCATTTGTCCTAGGCTTAAACTACAGACAAAATTACAGCACTCTATTTCTTCATATTTGCATATTCTATTCAATTTCAGGAGATAAGTTATATCTTTATAAACGGATATTATGAGAAAACATTACTACTCCATATGACGCCATCTTGCTTCCTATGGTGGCCTTATTACCCCCCCCCCCCCCCCCGTGTTAAAACATTTATCCATTCACAGTTCACAAACTTGTGACAGTATTCTATATGTCATGTCTATTCCCTATCATTATTATGCTTGATACAATGACTGCTCCCTTATCACGTGTTCAATAAAAGTGGAAGCCATTCCAAAGCCATGCTTGTTACTCTTTATCAATGGTGTTAGAAGTATTTACTGAATACTTGTGGTGAGTCAAACGTCTTGATCGCCTGTCATTTGTTTTAATTGCTCCAAATATTGAAGAATCTACCCGATTTTCCTTTGGACCGAATTTCCTCTGTTCGAAAAAAACAATGCCTGAAGAGTATGAGGAAGTTGAAGCAGCTCCTGCTGTAGTACAAAATTTTCATGTTTTTCCTATGAATATACCATTCCCTAAGCCCTTAGATTTGAAAGGTGACCTCGCTACCAGTTGGAAATATTTCAAAAGAGTGTGGGAAAACTATGAGATCGCTACTGGGTTGAGGGAGAGAGATACCCACCTCAGATGTGCAACATTCCTCACTTGTGTAGGACCAGATGGGTTACATGTTGTGGATGGAATAAAATTTGATTCAGAGGACGAAAAGAAGAATATCGATAAGGTTATTACGGTCCTATATGAGCGTTACATATTTAACTGTAGAAATCAGGAACAGTCTGAACATATAGATGCATATGTTGCAGAATTGCGTACACTAGCGAAAACATGCAAATTCGGAGACATGGAGGATGAGATTATAAGGGATCGTATCGTTATCGGAGTTCGAGATAACCATACCCGTAAAAAGTAGATAAGGGAGAAGAAACTGGACCTTCAGCGTTGCATAGATATATGCCGGTCGAATGAGAAATCTGAATCTCAACTCAAATCTATTGCAGATGTTCACCATGTCAAGGTCAAACAGAAAGTGAAATAAGATAATCATGGTAAAATGAGAAACGTAGAGACCACCGCACACAATCCATACCAACTGTTCAGTCTTGACAGTTACTGTGGGAGAACACATCCGCGCAGTCGAGAGAAATGCCCAGCGTTTGTACAGACTTGCAACTTATGTGGCGAGCAGAACCGTTGTGAGAGGAAATGTCCTAATAAAGAGCTCCAAGAGCAAAACATCATGAAAAACTTCGTGGTACATGGAACCGCAGAAAGTCCCAAGTTTAAGAGATTCGGACTCCTGAAAGTGACTCATCAGATGAACTTGTTCTTAGTATTGAACAAGTGCACTCGCTATCATCAAAACGTCATACGGCTGTTATGAATATCCATGACAAATATGTAGAGTTTCAGTTGGACAATGGGTCTTCAGCTAATATCTTGTCAGCTCATGTGTATGTGCGTCTCACAGGTGACAAAGAATTCCAGAATCTTAAGAAAGCAGATGTTACCCTACAGATGTACAACAAATCAAAAACCAAGGCTTTGGGCACCATTAGAATGTCTGTTCGAAATCCATGCAATAGAAAGAAGTATAATCTAGAATTCGTTATTGTGCCAGGCAAAGAACTACATTGTATTTTGGGTAAGCGAGCTATTGAAGGAATGGAAATTATTACTGTGCATACTGACAAATTCCTCACCAAGATACAAGTTCAGAATGACGCCATTTCACAGATTGACATTAAAGAAGAAATAAATGAGAAGTATGCAAATGTGTTCAAGGATCTAGGTAAACTGAATGGCAAGCTTCATTTGGAGGTCAAGGAAAGTGTGCGACCTGTACAGTTACCGCCTAGGAAAATACTGTTAGCCTTGAAACCAAAAGTGAAAGAAGAGCTAAACCGACTGGAGAAGTTAGGTGTCATTAAACCAGTTAACACGCCAACCGACTGGGTATCTGCCTTAGTGGTGGCTCCTAAACACCTACTATAGAGGATATTCTACCCGAATTGCATCAAGCTCATATATTCTCCATTGTTGATGCAAAGGATGGATTTTGGCACGTTGAGCTTGACAGTGATAGAAGCTATCTAACTACTTTTGCTACGCCATGGGGCAAATATCGCTGGTTGAGGACCCAATTTGGTATCTCGGTCGCACCTGAGGAGTTTCAGAGGAGAATGGACGACGCTGTAAGTGGCATTCCAGGTATCAGACCTATACATGATGATGTCTTAATTTACGGATGTGGCGAGACAGATGAAGAGGCTGAAAGGGATCATGATGTGAAATTTCGAGCACTAATGCAGAGATATATGGAGAGAAACATAAAGCTTAACCAGAGTAAGATGAAACTTAAGCTTACATCTGTCATTTATCTTGGATATGTGATCAGCAAGGATGGGTTGAATGTTGACCTACAAAAACTCAAGGCGATACATGAAATGCCTACCCCAGAAGACAAAGCAGGAGTTCAGAGATTATTGGGAATGACAAATTTTGTGCAACGTTTTGCACCGCAGTTGTCTGAGATTACCAGTACACTTCGAGATCTTCTGAGAGCAGAGACTCATTTTTTATGGGATCCGGATACCCACGGACAAGCATTTGACAAGGTCAAGGACACATTGTCTCGTGCACCAGTTGTTAAATTCTTTGATGCTAAGAAGAAACTGACTTTGCAATGTGATGCTTCTTCTATTGGACTAGGCGCATGCCTTATGCAAGACAATTATCCTATCGCATATGCTTTACGTTCGCTGACAGCCACAAAACAGAACTATGCACAAATAGAGAAGGATACTTTAGCTGCAGTGTTTGGCATGGAACATTTTGAAAATTATACATATGGACGACATGTTATGATACAGTCGGATCATAAACCCTTAGAAATCATTGAACGTAAAAACCTTCATAATGCACCAAGCGTCTTCAGAAAATGCTATTAAGACTGCAGAAATTTGACTACCGCATTGAGTACAAAAAGGACACAGAGATGTATTTTGCTGACACCTTAAGTAGGGCCTATCTTATCACTGACTCTGACTCATTTGAAGCGTGCATGACATACACAGCATCAACTACCGCACCTACTTAGCAATATCTGACGAACGATACTCACAGATAAAGGAAGCAACAGGAAAGGATGAATCTCTACAATTGCTGAAGAAGATAATACTTGACGGATGGCTTGACTCTTCGAAAGAAGTCCACTCTGATATACAAGTGTATTTTCCGTTTAGAGAGGAGTTAGTCGTTCAAAACGGTGTCATCTACAAGGCCGAGCGAGTTGTTGTTCCTAGATCTATCACACATAGTATAGTACAGCGTATACATAACTCTCATTTTGGTTTCCAAGGATGTATCCGTAGTGCTCAGGACTATGTCTACTGGCCAAATATGTCGAAGGACATTGAATCGTACATTGGTCAATGTGCTGCATGTAATACTTACCAGGATAATCAAAAGAAGGAGCCTATGATCAGCCATGAGATTCCTATTCGTCCTTGGCAAACAATAGGATGTGATCTGTTCGAATGTGAAAGCAAAGATTACCTCATACTCGCAGACTACTATTCAGATTACTTTGAGGTGGAGAGACTTCATAGTAAAACAGGTTCAATCATTCGCATGATGAAATCGCAGTTCGCGCGTCATGGAATCCCAGATAGAGTAATATCCGACAATGGACCGCCATTTGGAAGCAGAGTTTGCAGAATTCAGTAAAAGTTATGAATTCGAGCATGTTACATCGTCCCCTAGATATGCACAATCTAATGGCGAAGCCGAGAACTCTGTAAAGATTGCCAAACGGCTTATTCACAAGTGTGGAATGGACGGGAAAGATCCATTTTTGGCGCTTCTGGATGTACGCAATACGCATACCCAAGGAATAGGCTACTCACCTGCACAACGAATTATCGGTAGATGCACAAAATAGCTATTACCAGTAGCTGAACGTCTACTCAGACCACGCCATGCTGACCGCACCAGGGAAAATCTGTATGAACGCAAGGAACGTCAGACATACTACTATAATCGAGGAGCTAAGGAGCTGAAACCCTTATCAGAAGGAGATACCGTTCGTATTAGACCTGCAGGAAATGAAAAGGGATGGGAAAAGCATTTTTTCAGGAACAGAGATATATACGTTCGTACAAAGTGAGAACTGAGGATGGTCGTGTATATGGTTGCAATAGACGTCATCTCCGACATAGTCGAGAACCATTCCGTCCTGATCATGAAAATTCAGAGCCTGAACTACTGACTGAACAATCACAGTGCAATGATGACCCATTCCTATAATAGTCAGCAATGAACCAACACCAACTCCCAACATCAGAATTACGCAATACACAAGATTCCTTACCAGTTCAGCGTCCCAAGCAACCAGTATCATCATGTCCAATGAAAACACGTAAAGGTCGTGTAGTTGTGAAACCAATGCGTTACCGCGATGTGTAGGGCAAAGGTAGATAGTGAAAGAGGTAATAATAACTCTTCGTCTACCTATTTCTAAGATTAGCTTAGACTTCATGTAAATAAGTACTTGTCTTAGTTAAAACTTACTGTTTTTAGTTTAGTTTGCAAAAGAAGACTGTGTTGAGGGCATAATAATCCCTAGTCTCCTTAACAGAGCAAATAGCCTTGAATTTGCTTATTTGTTAGTCCGTCTTGATTGCTACTAAATCTTATTTCTCATTCTATAATGTAATATTGCATGTTGAATATACACACTGTTTTGTTTAATTTTAATAGTGATTTGATCATGGTTTTCAAACACTCAAATGGACAATCATTCGAGTAGTAAAGTTTCAGTATTAGCAGGAATTTGTATACTTAACATTTTAAAGAAAGGAGGATGTGACAATATTCAATATATAATGACTACTCCCTATCATTATTATGCATGATACAATGACTGCTCCCTTGTCACGTGTTCAATCAAAGTGGAAGCCATGCCAAAGCCATGCTTGTTATTTTTTATCAATCTATGAACTGATTTGTGATCGGGGACATCGTGATACAAACCTGACCTCATCTTTTCTGGAAAACATTGAATACCTCTAGCTTATTTACTTAAAGCAGGGACCTTTATACTAACGGGATAGGCAACTCTTGCAAGTCTCGCGATATCTCGTAAGTTGTGGGATTTCGTAAGTCAATTTTAGTTAAATATATTAACTAAATATATCTCTTTTGCAATCAATTATTTCAGAATAAAATCTTAATTTCTATCTATCAAAAAATTATTCAAGATTTGTTATAAGCACTGTTTTTACTCCTTATCTCAGAAGTAGTTACGTTTATTTAAAAATCAGTTTGTTCCCCTATCAGTGTATGCCCCTGATCGGCCGTATTTCCGAGAAATCGCCGATTTTGGTGGTTGTTTACTTAATATCTAAATTATTTTATAATATGTGCTTTAAAATTTATTAAACATCCATTCCGATACACACAAAAAACAGATTACAGTTATTAGAAAACAAGCTTTTTACTGGGGAAAAACGTTGTTTAAAAAACTTGCACTGTTGTGTTTGCCCTTTTGTATTAATAAACATGGCGCTGAAGGAGTTGCCTATCCCGTTAATATATAGGTCCCTGCTTAAAGATTCTGATTTTTAAAGATTGAAATTAAAAGAAATTGTGTTCAAATTTACACTTTTTTTTTTTTTTTTTTTTTTTTTTTGACAAATGATAACCGGTTTTTCAACCGATTATCGTCGTTCCGACCGAATAATCCTTAACCAGTTACAAATTGTCATCCCAATTGTTTTCATCTGTTTAATTAATACCTCTTTCAATTTTTTTTTTTCAGTTTTGGAATGAAGTTAACGAACAAGTGATAAGCCTTAAAAACAAACCCAAGAAAGTAAAACCACAATAAAAAAAAAATATGTGAATGTAAAACCTTCCTTAATTTTGAGATATTGTTGAGGTCTCTCTGTCTTGCATCAGGACTTACAGTGTCAATTTGATAACCTACAAGGTACAAAAATATTAAAATATCGATTTTAATATATCCTTTGGCCTATTATATGAAGAAAATATTTACATAGATGCGGTTTAATTTCATGAAATTGTTTGGTTAAAGGTATATTATTATGTGTATACAAGCATTTTGTTTAAGTTATATATTTCTATGGTTGACAGTTACGGACAAAACAAACACGTTCAACCACCTTCCCTACTTCGATTGTTGGTGAATCTCTAAGAAAATCATGGAAGTCATTGTTTGATTTAAAATTATCAGTTATGTTAAAAAAAATAAATCTTGCATTTTTGTTCTTTTTATCTAGGAATAAAATTCAGAACAAAAAGTTTAAAGTATACTGATAAGTGCAGCAATTCCTTACGACCACATCAGCAAAGTAGAAAAAGCACGGCCTCGTCATGTCATATATAAAAGAAAAGATATTGAATAATTATTTGAAAATCCAATGTTAATCTAATAGTAGATATAAAATGTCTTCAGAGATGTCAAACATGCCAAAATTAGACAAACTGTACAAACTCTAATATAAAGGAAAATTAAAAAAAAAAGATAATTTCTTACGTGTAAAATAGTGGAAGAAAATATACTGAAAAAAGAAGGATAAGCAATTATATGCAAAACACACTCACACACATATATATAATTGTGCATGCCATTTTTATTTTATCAGTTTTGTCAAGTTTCCCTTTATATCATGTCGATGTCTTGTATTTCCTAGCATTGTAATATATGATTGGTTTATTGATTGCATGTTGTTTTACGTTGTGTTCGAGAATTTTCCACTTATAAAGCGACGTCACCGTACAACGGTGAAGGACCTCAGATTTAGACTTTTTCAGCACTCTGACCATCGAGCAGTAAAGGATCTTTATCGTGCCACCATCTGTCGTCACCAGGGGGCTCAGTTTTAAAAGCTCATCATAAGGAGTTCCAAGCTCTTGGCGAAACTCAAGTTGCTTCTTATTTTTCATTGACTTGGATGAGTCGCGACCGGAGCTTTAATTCACAACCTTCCAGTTAATGAGCTAGCGCTCTGCTTTGTTATGTAATAGGAGTAAACTTTAGAACACCATCTTCATTAGTGGTTCTAGAATATATTTGTACACTCTCCTATAATTTCATGTTTATTATTTCCCAGGTTCTTGTTTTGATTTGAGATTCTGCTTGGTCTTATTTCCGAGCTTATTTGTACCTAAATTCAACACCTCATGTCAGTCGTAATGAAAACACCAGTTCCAACAAACAACAACATTTATTAACCTTTGTATAGACAAACAAAAAAAATATAGTATAAAAAAAAAAAACAACTGTAAATTCCTGCCTTATAGAAAAAATCCTAACAACCGTATAAAAATCACCCCCCCCCCCCCAACCTAGCGTACGGAAACGCTAGCCCAACCTAGCCGGGGGAAAAGGCCTAGGGTAATTTAGAAAAAACCCTTATTTATTTAAGAATACCTTAAAACCTATCTCCTAGCTTTTAGAATTATAGCCTAATAAATTTAACAGGAGCAATAGACGACGACAATTTAGTCAAAATGCCTAATATCTTAACATAATTTCTAAGGGTGCAACCTGTTAAATACCTAATAAACCTTTATTAAAGTGAGAGAACTTACAGCAAGTTAATGCTTTCAAAGATTCCCCACGTGTCTAACAGTTACACGGGTTTATATACTCTTTGAAAACAATAGAATCTTTAACTTGAAATCTAATGAATACACCCCAAGGGTATGAACTTTGACTGAAATTAGTAACACCCAAAAGGTTAACTTCCGTATTGAAAGCCAATGAGAATTTAGATCATCAAATATAAACATTTACCCGTAAGATTTGATGGAAGCAACACGTGCTATTATCTGAGAAGGTTTGTAAATATAAACCAAATGATATGGGGGATAAGGCAGTGTACCAATATATGCATGAAAACATTAATAACGACATTACATTTAAAATACAAGGCATAAATGCATATAATAAAATTCAGTCCTGCTACACTCCCCCCTTCTTAAGATGTAAATGATTATATCATTATTCAAAACAAATAAAAAATATATCAGGAATTAGATTCAATTAAACAATAATGTTAAAATAAGTCCTAATCAAATAGAACAGTGTTTATATTTTCTTTACGGTTTTCTGACAAGTAGGCCCCCAGAGGCGTCCAGTCACAACCAAACAGTCCTCTCCCTGGACCAGAACCTCCTTATCTATGGAGTTAGTTTCTGCTCGGACTAGGGTGTCTCCTGGCGTCGCAGTGACGGCTTCCCTTCTGAGCCTCGCCTGCTCATCTCGATATCTTTTCCTGGCATCTGATACTGGTGCCAGTGGCATCGTTAATTGCCCAGGGTCTTTGAACTTGATGTTTCGAACAATCTGTCCCACAGGACTGACGTCCTCCCCATGGCGTTGCCGACCATGTCTGCGTACTTGATTTTTCCTGTTGCTGGCGTATCGACAGTTGACTTTACTACAATAGAAGATTTCGATGTTTTCCTCGTGGATCTCCTGCCAATGTACTTTGCAAGACAGGTAGTTCGAGAACCAGCTGGTGCAATGGTCTGTAGGGCAGACCATCCCCCCTTCCTGCCATACTGGTCTAATGTCACGGTCAAGTTCATCCATCTCGGTCTGACTTACGAACAAATCCAAAACATCCATAAGGAGCAAATATCTGAAAAACAGTTGTACAACAAATATTAGATTTTATTTTCAAACAATTCAATTATGC